GAGCAGCTAAAGTGCAAAGTTGGTGGTGTGCAGCGGCCTCATGGAGTGGTGGTGCCCTTGGCACGTGCCAATGGCACTGTCCATGGGCACTGTCTGCAGGACCCCCCGAAAGCATGGGGCCCAGGGTGGTTGCCCCGATTTGCCCCCCCCCCCCCCACAAAGGACGGCTTTGGGTGTCTTGAATCTATCGAAGGGTGCCTCAAGTCTAAAAAGATTGAAAATCACTGTTCTAGCCCCTTCCACAAAGGACTCTACAACTTGTTAAAAAGTACCAAGCACTGCAACTTGTGGCAGGTAAATAACATTATCTCCAGATAAGACAGCTGAATAGAAAAATAGCACAGGGATGTGCAAAAAAAATCAGCCTATTCCAAAAGGGGACACTCATTTTGAATATCGCGTGTGAGATACCAAAAACTCCAGCTGTCCCAAAACCAAGACACCCAAAATTAATTGCAAGTATAATTGCACCTGCTACATTTCTCCTTATAATGAACTGGAGCCTGGGGCCCTAGTGAGTTCTGTACCTGGAGCTCTATCACTCTCACACTATTAAGGTGGCATAGACCTCTCTATCCCCAGTTCTTTTTTCTGGAACATTGCTTTGGTATCTGCCCCTCTCCTCTACTTGCACTGGGGCATGTCAAAGGCACTATACCTAGTAGGCTGGATGTTTGAAATGCTGTCCATACGGCCTCCCAGAAGGCTTAGGTCTAATTGCCCTGTTGTTCGCAAACCAGAGGGTGGCACAAGTGGTCTGTCCTTCATCTGCATGTGCTGATCTCCCATGGATGTCAATGGGAGCTACATAGAGCAGAATATGGAGACCTGCTGCACCGATTGCAGAGGGAAGCTCTGCCTTGTAAAAGCCTGTGGTCCAGAGGTTCCTTTGCTTATTCCCCATGCACCCCACTTGCAAGCTCCATCAAGCATGGCCATTTTTCTGGCTTGGGCCACAGGCTAGATTTGCACCCTCATTTGCTTTCTGACCCTGCATGTCACATATGCATTCACTTGCTAGGATACCAGCATCTTGAAAGGAAGAATCCCTGCGTTGGAGACACTTGTCTTCTGAAGACAGAGGCCTGGGTTTTCCGCTCCCCTACACCCAGGGCTGTACCTGGGTGCAGCTATTCCTGACTTACACTAATGGCTCTCAGAGGTAATTTGTTGTGACAGTTTGAAGCTGGGCAGAAGGTAGAGCGGGGTGGCACCTTACAGTGGTTCAGAGAGACCTGAGCTTTCATAAGCAACAACCTACTGCATCGGATGTATCACTGAACTCACTGATGGACCTTGCAGCTCTACAGAGAGCCAGATATCCCCTCTGCTGCTCTTCACAAAATTCCACTGCCAAAAAAAGGGTCAAAAACCATGTCCATTTTGCAAGGAAAGCCACTAAGCAACTCTGTCCGTGTCTCTGGTCAAGCCATCCAGCCTTGTTGATACCAATCACTTTTCTCGTTTTACCCAGGGAAGCCACTACTTTAATCCACCTGTTCAATTATTTATCATGCTATGCATTTCCTGTTAATTGTCACTCACGCAAAGGAACTTCATGGTAAGGGGACACCCTAATATTTTTTAATGACCTTAAGCAAAGTGATTGACACTAGATACCAGTGTCAGATGTTCTGGTGACGCAATATGTTCTCCAAGCAGCAGGAAAGCTTCCTGCCATGATAAGTTAGAGCTATGAGAGTGCTAAAATGTGTTGTCAGCTTTCCTCTGATGCAAGCAATTTTATTATAGTGTCTGGTAACCATGGAGTGTAGCAATGCAAATACTGCCTCTAAACATCCCCTCCCATATGTATAGCCTGCTCTATTTAAAACACAATGTGCACTTTAGAAGTCCAGGGATAAGTTATGGATTTTATGAGCTCAAGCCAGGCAGGGTAGGGGAAAAAAGACCCCCCCAAGTCTGGTCGTGAGTGAAGGGTGGCCTGATAAATCTAGGACCCACATGCAACCTGCAGTGGGCTGCTCATTGCTGTACCTCTTCAAAGAGATATATTCAGCGCAGCCCTTGTGCAAAGACGGGGTGTCAGTAGGAAGAGGGTTAAACCCACGTTTTAGGCTCCCACTTCTCAGCAGGCAGAGGCTGCCTACCATATAAATAATGATTAAAAAATTATTTGACCATAAAACAATTTATTAACTTTGAAAGGGAGGCTGCCAAATAACGATTGGCAGCAGGCTTTTACTTCCAGAACCTTGTTAAAAATGTATGGTCTTCAATTACAGTCCCATTTATTTGATTTTGTCAGCAGTGTGGAGTGTTTTTCATTCACTGTTTCCTCCATTTTCAAGGATTTGCTTTTTCTCTTAACAGTCAAGACTGGAAGCCCTCAAAAATGGGTGCATAGAAATGAGACAGTCTTACCGTGGAAGATCGGCTCACTGCACAGTCAGACATCTGCAGCTCCTTCTCCTCTCTTGCTCACCCTGCAGAGCAAACACAGCTTTGGGACTGCAAGCCTATTCCTTCCGGGGCATCCACAACCAAGCCCTCATCCATTATTTCTGTGCAAAGCTGCTGAAAGCTGTTTGTTTGCACTGATGCTCTATCTTTATTCCTGGAGATGTTACGTGAAAAGGAAAGAACCCAGCTTGACTGTCAGATCCCTGGCTGAACTTAATGAATTTGGGAGAACTTTAAGCATACTGGACATAAAAATATCAGTGCAAGCCAATTTAGAGCCGGTTTTCAGACTAGACGAACACACATAGATAGCATGTACTTTCTTAAGGCCAGACTGTGCCCAGCATGCAGCTGGAATATACTTTTGACAGCAGAGAGGGCTTTTCCCCTGGGGTGATGCAGTTCTGTTATGCCCCCAATGCCAGGTTGTGGCTTAGAGGCACCATTCAGCCCCTAATACGAAATGACAAGTTAATCCACAGTGCTTCTCACATAATGTACAACGCCACTGCATGCCGATACCTGATATCACTATGATTGCCGCGCTGACTGTGCACATTGCAGGGACCACAGCCAGTCATTTCACTGATCTGAAAATACAGCTCGCTCAAGTGAACCCACAGCCACATCACGCATGGCTTCCCCATCCGCATCCCCAACTTCTCACGGCAGCCAATGGAAAGTGGCACTGGTTAGCACCCTGCAGAGAAACTCAGGCATATGCCCCACTCACTTCCATCTGATTTTAATCACATGCTTCAGGTTGAAATTCAGCAGGGATCTTAATGCCAGGTTTAATTGATCAAAGATACTGAGAACACCTGACTTGGACCGACGTTCTAGATCGGATGTTCTAGCTTTGCCAACGTCAGGTGTTGAACGCCAATGAATATAAAAGGAAAGTCACAGAACTGAGAGCAGACGTCAATCACAGACGTCAATCACAGTAGAGCCAGCAAACAAACTGGGACCTCACTTAATCCATGAAAATATCTCTGCTCTTACATATTGTAACAGTTGAGATTAAGATATTTTTTTTTTTAACTGTAAACTCATTTTTCTTCCCTTTGTCCTGGCAAAACATTCAGAACAAAAGTCAGAATCAAAAGCAGGTAAGAATAAATTGTAAGCGCCCCAAGGAAACAATAAGGACTAGATTTTATCTCCTTCACCAACAAATAGCTCCATCGCCATGTGGGTTGCAGCTTGCCCTGTTTACTTCCATAGGGCAACTAACTGAGTAAGCCGAGACTTACTCAGTTAGGTGGCTCAACAGGTGATCATGCTAATGGAGTCAGAAATAGAAGGGCTTGCTACGCAAGCATTTTAAGATCAATTGATCTCCAGGCATATTTGATGGGACTGGACAAAAAAAGGAGTAAGAGAAAAAATAATTGCAAAAAATTCAGATGCGTTTTGTGTTCACAGGAGGCTGGCTCAATTCTGCATGTTGCCCATCCCAACCTTTCAACAGGGGTCTGATACAAATCCCTTCCAAGTCAAACATTTCCATTGATTTCCAATGAGTTTTTGGATCTGCTGAATTCAGTACAGGGTCAGGCCTTGTAGGGATTTAAAATAAAATGTATCCAGGCCCCAAATCTTAAAAACCTTCAGCTCATCCTTACATCATGTCCTCTTCAGGATAGCTTAACCGTGTTTCCCTGTGCAATTTTGAAGAGTGTGCCTTGGTAAATGAGGCCATATCTTGTCTATCGTATTTTCTAAGTTTTGTCTGTACAACTTTCAGAAATAGAAACTTCCTCTTTGCGAACATCCTCCAACTTTTCAGCAATTCAAGATACTAGAAAAAGGATACTTAAAAAAAAATTCTGGGTCCCACTAGACATACAGTCTGAGGCACAGTACTGTGCAGATCCAATGATATCAGTATATCTACTTGTAGGCATTAACATACAACCGATGGCAAATGTTTGCACTGTGTTGTTAAACAGATCAATAATTATGTTCTGCTCAAGTGATGTCACCTTCATGCTCACATGATGTTATTCTAATGAATGATCCTATCAATCATTCATCATTCACCACCTCAGTTGGCTTGTACATCCAACTGAACATCTATCTGCCTTAACCGTCCTCCAGTACATCAATATTTAACAAGGATGTGAAAACAATAGGGCATCAAATCAAATACATGGTCTGAACATGCAGCGCAGATTGGCCAAGTTGTGCATTTGAAAATGCTGTTGCTCAATAAAGGAATATCCTCAGGAGCTCGTAAAGCACCATATGTGAAGTAAAAAGAATTGGAGTTGAAGTTGTCCAAATGACAATGAACAATACCAGAATTTCTAAAGCTCTAGCAGCACTGAATGTTTATTATTTTAATGAAATATACAACTTTTTTATATCAAAATCCTCAAAAGTGCTAAATCGAACCACTTTAATTTACAAAAAAAGTCTCACTTTCTTTTTTTAAGCTATACTCATACCTTGTTATTTATGTTGGACAAATATTATGAATAGCTACCTACATCTAGTCAATAGTAAAACAAGTTAATATTACTGTCTGTTTAAAAGAGAAGAAAAAAGTACCACAGATAAAATCATTGGAACAAACCCAAAAGATGTCCCAAGATCCAAGAATCGGTTTATGAAGCAATCACAGTTTTTGTCTGCTTGTTTGTTGTTTCAGGGAACAATATAAATCAAAGGCAATCTGGCCAGATGTGCGACGGTAATCTGTCCTCTCTCAGTCCACCCCTCACAAGCATGCATTATTTTTAAGCAGGTTTTGTCCCATCAGGTCAGTTCAGCTTGTTTTCTTCATTTTCACAGGGCCCCACTTTCTCCCCTATCCTCAGAGCGCTGACTACAGCTCTGGACTGCCGTTACGATGAAATCATTTTCCATGAATTGGTTGGGGGGTGGGGGGGTGGAGAAGAGAATTTTTTTCTTTCCCTGTCTTGGCAAGAAATATCATTCAGTCATATCAACCACCAATTTCGGAGATGCTCCTAGAGTCTCTCTCTCTATCCATCCCATCTATTTCCATTGTGAAGAATAATCCCTCAGACCAACTCATGAATAAATAGTCAGACAGACACAAGAGATCTCTCCTCTCCGGGATTTTCCTGGTCGTCTTTAACCGAACAAGGTTCTCTGATTCGCCACAAGTGCCGTTTGACTCTCCCGTCTCTTTGCTTTCTTATTTCTTTGCCTGACTTTCCAGCACACGGCGCTAGAAGCCAGGAGAAGCAGTCCTGAGGACAAAAGGACCAGTCCAAACACCGAGATGACAGATCCATGGGAATTGAAGCTGTATGCCACGGCGGTGACCACCACCCCTGCTATAAGGATGACCACCCCAAAGGGGATAGTGCAACGGTAGCAAGAGAGCTCTGCCCCTCCCGTTGCTGCTGTCAGCTGGCATTCGCTGACCAAGGGGACCGTGGTCACCACGCATTCATTGTTATTGCTCTTCTCCATTGTGATGGGTTCAGGGTACTTGGGAGCTCCCAGCAACTCTTTAATGGGCTCGTTTGTCATCGTCTACTTCTTGTCTTCCTTAGTGAGCTCTTAGTCTAGGCCAAGTTCTGCTGAAAAGGCCTTCTGCTGTGGAAAGAAGATGCATGTATTCAAGTGACAAGTAGTTAATGATTAATTAACGATGTCCCAGTCAGGCTTACACATGCACAGGATTACGCATTGTGCAAACACAGGTCCTTACCTGGCAAAGATTCATCCTTGGCCTTAGTTTTAAACACACACATCACCCTGCTTATTGCTGTGATTTAGAATTGATTTTCATGGGCTTATGTTTGATGTTAAGCTTATGTACACATTTGCACAGACCCTGACTCTCAGAGCTACGAAAACACTCTGGTTTTGCTTGCATGCCACAGTAAAAAAGGTGTAGAAAGATACAGCCATATTTTAATATACTGGCATTACTATAGTGCTCACCTGTACTAATCATATTTAGACCCAAGTCCTGCAAAGATTTAAGCATGTGTTTAGCATAAAGCCTGTGGTAATCCAATGGACTAGTGACCTGCCTATGTAGAGCGAAGCATCTGTTTAAACTCTGGTAGGCCTAGTGTTTCTAATGAAGAGGAAAAGTTGAATGAATCTCACCCAAAATAGAGGCAGCATCAAGATTTCTTTTAAAATTAAAATACAAAATAGCAAATAGTAAAACAACAACTTGATGTTCCAATGTTTTTTGTCATCCAATTCTTTATAATTAACTGTATTTAATAAATAGGGAAGAATGGATACAAACTCCAGGGAGCTCTTTACAGTCTGACCTGTGCAATATTTAGAAAGGCTTTATAAACCATGAGATTTCACATCCTTTTTTTTTCCCCACAGTTTTCTTCCAGGTCTTTGTTCTCTCCTAGTACATAATAAATAGCATAGCACCATCCAGATGAGCAGATGTCACCAGGGAATATACCAACTGAGCAATACCAAGTATTTATCTGCAGTTTCATAACACTAAGCATTGAAGCTTGCATAACTGCATGTAACACACCTGTCTCTTGGGAGGTGACATGTATATTGGCTGAAAGAATCACTTTTGATCACAGCTTCTTTGACAGTAGGTTGTTGTGAGCACAAGAAATGTTGGCTTCAACCCCCGATGCTCAGAGCCAACTAGACCTCACGTACCCACTGAACATGAAATCAGTTCAGAGTGGTAGTGCTTCTTTCAGGTGGCCTCTCTGGTTTTAATGTAGTTATTGTCAGCATGCCTGGGACTTGGGACAGCACTTCACTGAGGTTTTACAGGGAAGAGCAGCACAGGGCGACTAAGGAGAGCAGACAGAAGTGCAGCTCCCTGCTGTACCTGTGAACACTTTTCAGGATGCTTTCTGGGTTACAACAACCCCCCGGACCAAACAGAAGTTCACAGTTGGTTCCAGGGGGAAGGGGTATCTAGCTGCTGGCTGCAGCCTGCAGTTGATTTCCCCTAGTACCAGCCCCTCCTCCCTCCCAGTTCAGAATGGGAGGGTGCAAAGGGAGCTCTTCTAGGGGTCCCCCAGCCAGCGCTGAAGGGTGGGATGGGTGAATTGGGGACCCCACCTCAGAGTTGGGGGGGAGACTCCAATACACCTGCCCCCACCCTCCAGCTGGGGCTGAGAAACCCCCAAACAGAACTCCCTCCACTTCCTTTCCCCCTTCCCTTTCTGAAAACTACTTGGACGCTGGCAAAAGTGACTTGCATTTGTGGCAAAGAAGAGAACTGAAACCAAGTGCTCTAATGGATAGGCCTTCTTCTCCCCCCATGAAGCAAGAACATGCTCACTGGAGGCAGAATCTAGCCCTGAGGCATCAAGGCTGAAACTTTCAAACCTGCACAGGGAACCTAGATATCAATCCCCATTAATTTTAAACGCATCCCTGAGTAACCTCAGCTTGAAAATATCCACAGTGTAAATAAATACAAAGGTTTGACCAAAAACTCATGCGTCTTTAATGGTCTTTATACCAATTTCAATTTTCAGTCTTCTTTTAGAAGCTAAATTTGAAGCTGTTGATTTGGAGATGAAACATCTCACTTGGTATTTTAACATTTTTTTTTATTTGGATGATCACCCATTTATTCCTAGTTTATAGATCTACTTATCCTAGGCTTTCCCACTGTCGACTACTCAGAGAACATGTCTACATACTCATCAATGTGCCTTTGCTACTGTGTATTAAGTTTAGTATCTCTAATATGAGGTGCTAGATAAAGGTGCAGTAGCTGTGCTAACGCACAGTAGCAAAAGCGAACATGTTTTGTGACGCTTAATGCACAGCAGACTAATTCTACTGTGCAGTAGCATGGTTTTTGCTGTGACATACTGATGCACAGTAGAACAGTCCACTGTGCATTAAGACATTTTATATAGATGCACCCACAGTAAAGTTAAATTTGCATGGGAATATTAGCAAGTTCATACATATTGTATCTGGGTTTTCTGAAAAATGTAATGGGACTCAGGCTTCCAAATCCCATTTCGTTACAATGGAAATTGGGCATTCAATTCTCTCAGGTCCCATTACAAGTTCTAGCCTGTGAACAGGAACTCTCTTCCTTGTTTCTGGTTTGCCCAGCGCTGAAGGACTCCAATCCTTAGTGAAGTAGTGAGGATTAATGTAGAGCTATTATGATTAATAACAGCTTGTAAGGTGCCTATCTCTGCAGAACCGAAGTGCCAAGAAAGACAAATTGCTGCTTGTATTTCAATCCCATCTAACTCTTCCCAGAATCCCTCCTCTTTGACACCTCTGAATTGCCACCCAGGAAGCCCATCAGTAATCTACTGCCGATACTAACTGAACAGTCTTTCAAGTCAATCTAGGAAAAGGTGTCTGGATTAGATGTTTCTATATACCCCACAGGCAAATGCAGCATGGAACTGGCCTCCTCTGTAATCCTGCCTTATCTGCCTACTGGGATTTCAATACATCTGGGCTGGGATTTATTTTAAAAGGACCTATGGGATTAAGGTGAAATGCAAACTGTCATAGGCTCTTGTAAAAACTCTATTTAATATTATTAAACTGCCCAGCAGCCCTTAGTGGGAGACCATCAACTCACTACCCAGACAGTTTAATGAAATAATGGTTTCAGGACCTACACACGTCCTTAGGGTCTCTTCCCTGCCATTTTTTGTGGTTTTATTTACGTGCTCCTGTTTCAATTACAATGTGGCTCACTCACCCCTTCACGGTCTGTGGAGTTCCACTAAAATCCATGGGGCTATATACAGGCACCTGTTTTCATGAAGACTATTTCAAGACTGGGATCCAACTGACCATGTAAGGATGAGTTTTACTAGACAGCAGTTGGGGCTGCCAAGGAACCCATGGGAGTTAAGTGAAAGCTGATCACTTGACTTCTTTAAGCTCCTTTGCCAATCTCAGGCAAATGCCAAGGAATGGAGAAATTAGTGTTCCTCTCTCTAAATAACAGAAATGTCCGCGTGTTACTACTGACCCTGCAAAATCTCTGCTCTTGCAGGTTATAGGAGAAGAGAACTTGGCTCATGCAAGATACATATTAACAAATACTCACAGAGTAATTTTTATGCTGCAGCTATTCCTTTAAGGTTTGAAAAAATATGTATATTTGGGGACACATATACCCAAGATACATTTGCAGGCGTCACTAGGGGTTTAGCCATCTGCTCCTTTCATTCTGCTTCTCCTTCCTCTACGTTCATGCTCTGTTGCTAACAGTATGATGGAGAGCACTCTGTTATGGCTCTGGATATCGTGTATGACTATACGACTTCCTGTGTTCTCTTAAAGACTTTAGAAAGATGCTACTTGCACACCAGGTTATATGCGGGATTACATGGAAGAACTGTGAAGAGCTTGGTCAGAAATTTTCTTAAGTTCCAGGGAGGGAAGGCAAGTTCAGACAGAGGTTCTGCCTTGGCCAACCTTGAAGAGCCTTACAGTAAAGCATTGGGAATGACCATTTACACTGCCACGTATTGTTGTTACGCAGCATGCTTGATCCCCCATGGTGCTTAGCAACTCCTGGAAATACAAAGCTCCTTCAATTCCCACTGACAACAACAGGAGTTGGAAGAGGTTGGGTTTGTTCAGAGGAAGACACAGGACTCCACTCCTAGATAATAAAAGACAACAGCATTGTAGGTACACCGTTGCTGTAGATGCTGTTCATCAACCACGTCTGGCGACACTCTAGATATTGTTGCTCTGTTCTTAGAACTTTAAACCATGATTTAACACCTGCCACTGTTGAAAGAAGCCAGGAGAACTACGGGCAGGGCTAGAAGACCAATGATTTATCTTTTTTTGACTGGGAGTGGGACCTGATTCTCCATCGCTCTGCCCTTCTTGCAGTGATGTGAATGGACAAAATGTTGTGAAACTTCTGAACCACAAAGGTGCCATAGTGTACCCACTTCATACTCCTGAAAGCCACTGCAAAGGTGCAGGGCAGGGGGAGTTTGCCTCATCATCCCATCTTTTAGCTCAAGTCACTGTACTAGAACCTTTAATTTTACTTTAACAATTAAAAAAAAATTACTCTGCCTTAGATGTTCTCAGCATGTTTTTTAAAAGTGAAATGACTTCCCAATGTAATGTTGAAGTGTTTATTTTTTTTACCAGGTGCACTGTAACAGCTGGGAATTTAGCCAAAGCCCACAGAAGAGTAAGAAATCTCCCAATGACTCGAAGGCACTTTGGATCAAGCGTGTAACGTACTTGTTCATTTTAAAAGCATTTAATATGCATTTCCTTTAACGGCCATTCCTGCCCGTTATAAGAATCCTGGCTCTTCTGCTTCCATTCTGGTCCCATATAAGCCTACTTTTTAAGCAGCACATCACATGGGTGCTTCACATGGGGCTTGACAATGTCAGAAGAGATATATTCATGTTCAGAATAACAGAGCACAAACAAGCCTACAGTATATCAAAAGGTCACCTCCAGATAGAACCTGACTCCATAGCCAATGGCAAAACTCCTGCAGACTTCAGAGGGGCAGCATATTTGTCTACAGCAGGATATAAGTGGACAAATGGTCTTTTTAAACAAATAAACTCAGCTAAGTCAAATAAACAGAGACTATTGAAAGCACGTGTGTGTTCAGTGTATGCATCCCTGGAAAGTACAAGGCCAGATCCTCAGCCTTTGTACTTTCATGCAGCAGAGTAATACCAGGGCTGGCTGACACCAGCTCGGGGTTTTAAAGCAGGAAACTCTACTCACGATACTCTAGCAAGACTAACGGGACCATCAGTTTACTCCTTGTGAATAGGAAATTCTTTGCTTTGAAAGGACTTCCCTAAGTGGCTGTTTTCACTTAAAAGGGTGGAGTGTTTTAGTGGCAATTGTAACAGATAAAGCGGTAAGAAATGTTTTTCCTCTGAATACACAGCACCTATGGCTAAGAGTAAAATGAGATTTACTGAAAAGTTCTGCATATGCACCTACCATGTCCACGTGAGATCCATCATAACAAGTCACTTGGCTCAGTAACTGGGTAGAGGGGAAGTGTATATTTAAAACGGCTCCTTGGTCAACTAGAGGCAGTGTCAGGCAGCAGCTCAGGCAGCTCCAGCCTTTGAAGTGTCAGTTGTTGCTTGGATGAAGAAATGGAAGTGACACCGTTCTAGCATGGAGGTTCTGTAAGAAAGGAATTTGGGTAAATTTGGCTCCTTAACAACAAAGCTTCTTCATGAAAATTGGTCTCAGCTGTATAAGGATTCCTGCTCCAGAGTGAATAGATTAGGAGAGTTTCTACCTCCCTGGCCCTCTGTATCGGAGCTTGCTTTCTTGACCACTTTTGAACTTGTGTGAGTCTTTCCTCTGCTGATAGGATGCTCTCGCTGCCAGGTGTCAGGACCCAGGACATCCTTGCCCATTTAGAGCCCCCCTACTGAAAGGCCTGGAGAGGAGAGGATTTGCATGTGGAACTTCACAATGCAGCAGAATCTAGCTTACCTGGTTTCGACTGCTCCCGGTAACAGAGCCCTAGTTCAGCAAACCCAGGGGTACTCTCGCAGCATGAGTCAAAGTAGTCTACAGAACAGAACACGGGATTGGGACAGAAGAGACCTGACATTTATTCTCAGCTGTCACTGGCCTGCTGAGTAATGCCAGGCAAGTCCCACCAGCTCTCTGCATTTGTTTTCCATATGTGCAGTGCAGTTCTCCCTGAGCGAGGCACCTGGAAATTACTAATGCATCAGAAGTAAGGTATTATTATAGCAGAACGCCTCTTTTACACAGATGAACCAAATTCAGTGTCCCACTCCAATGAACACTTTTGTATGGCATTTAACACTGCTTTCTCTTTTTGTTTTCTGAGTTATTTAAAAAAAAAAAAAAACCCCAACAAAAACAAGATTTTTTTAGCAGGCCTAAACCTAAGTCAGGATTTAATCAAGGCTGGGCCGGTGCAGTAGGACAATTCTGAGGATGCAGCTGGGTTAAACTTATGAACCAGCAAAGATTTATGTTGCTAAGCTTATTCAACATTCCTTTACTATATGTGTGTGATTTAACACTACATCAGAGGCTTCCATCTGGGAGGTGAGACTAAATACATACAATACTAACCTGAAGTTACTGTTTCCTTGACTGTGCAAGCTTCCCACAAACACAAGTATGCATTTGCTCAGCCCGCACTGTTCTTTAGAAACTTAAGGTAATAAAGGTTGTGACATATCTAAAATCCATTTGGCTGATCTTTGACATAAGCTAATCATAAGGAGATCTGCCTTCTTATCCTCTTAAATATGTTGTTGTGTCTCCTAGCTAATGAAGTTACCAGCTGGACTTTGTTAAAATCTCCACTGGGAAAAATATATCTAATTTACAGCACAATTGTGTTGCAGGAAAAAGAAGTGCAATTCTATCTTACATCCAAGTATACACAAGATAGTTTCTTTAACAGAAATCTTGCAATCAGCCTTACTTGCTTTAAAGGAATGATAAAATTGGTTTGAAAACCTCTCCTTAGGATGTTTGTGTTCAGGAAAGCTCCAGACTGGCACCACATCTAGAAACAGATGTGCCATTCTGTTTATTTGCTCTTGAATATATTACAGCTTATATAATTAGTGGAGGGGGGTGGGGAGCTAAATACATTTTTTAGTCAACAAACCTGACTGACAAAGCAACCTTCATTCCCTTTTAAAATCAAATGAAGCTGCAAAGCTGAGACAAATGAAAATTTAAAATAATATTAAACTTCATGTTTAATGTGAGGGATTTTCATGTATTGCTCTCAGGGGCCAGATTAAGTATCAGACACCTCTGGGCGAGTGCAAAGAGCTGGTGGAGTACATAACTAGCTGCAATCCCTGCACCTTTTTTAGTTTTTTATTCAATATTGGTGGAAGACAATTAAGGGGGGGGGGGGGTTTGCATAGAGGTCCCAG